TCAGCCTGGAGGAGACTGAGGGGAGACCTCGTTGCAGTCTACAACTTCCTTGTGGGTGGAAGAGGAGGGGCAGGCACTGATCTCCTCTCTCTGGTGAACAGTGACAGGACCCAAGTGAATGGCATGAAGTTGTCAGGAGATGCTTAGGTTAGACATTAGGAAAAGGTTCTTCACTCAGAGCGTGATTGAGCCCTGGAACAGGCTCCCCAAGGGAACAGTCACAGCACCAAGCCTGACAGAGTTCAAGAAGCATTTGGATGACACTCTAAGGCACATGGTGTGACTCTTGTGGTGTTCTGCGTAGGGCCAGGACTTGGACTTGATGATCCTTGTGGATCCCTTCCAACTCAGTATATTCTATGATTCTGGTTTTCTGAATATAGGAACTCACTGATGAAGATGAGACTGACTTTTTCTTGCCAAAATACTTTGAAATATTACTATGTGATTTTTTCTGTGCAAAAAAAGAGCTACAGCTTTTAAAAGCTTCTTCAAGGTTCTTACTAAGTATGATTCCATTCACACACAGACCTCCTGACTTTCTTTTTAAATTATGGAACTGAAAATTAAAAAAAATAATGGGGTAATTCTCAGATACTCTTTTTGTCTGAAAGCAACTGCACTTCCACCAAGGAAGGGACTGAACAAGAATTTAAACAGTTTTAGAAGATATCAGGTTAGGAGGGGATGGTGTCAAAGTTAATCAGCTGGAAATCAGTGTTTAAGAAATTCTTCCTCCCCTGAACCATCAACAAAGAAGATAAGCTGAGGGGAGACCTAGTTCCAGGGAATTTATAGGAATGCTTGAGTACCCCGACCCTCACAATTTTAGCACTGAATTGTAAATTGTATATCCAACCACTTGAGTGGAACCCAGAATTTTGAACTTGTGAATAACCTACTATAAAAATACCCTTTGCAATTGTGCCCTGAAATAAAATACGCCGATGTGATTCAGGAAACACAGCCAAGATAAATGCTTTGGGATATTCTCAGAATAGTTGTTTTATGCATATTCCTGAACTGCAGAGATTATGTAACTTCAGTATAAGCTCTTTGAATATGGGACAGTCTGGGGACATTTTTTGTAGAGTTTAGGCTGCAGCATAAGTTCTTGAAGGTGAAGGATAAGACTGTGTGCTTAGGGTAGACTGTGCTTTCAGACTTTCACAACAGGCAGTCTGACTTTATCACAAAAAAAGTGCTCTGAGAATGGTCTACAAGGTGAGGAAACCAACTAGAACTGGGTGGCATCACCCAGGAGATGTTGCAGATGCTGTTTTACACTGCATCTTCCCTTGAGCCAGAGGTGAAGGGTAAAAATTGTTACATGGAATAGCGTGGCTTGGTGGTCATCTGGTCAGTCAGCCAAGGTCAGTCCCCCATTGTGTGGCCTTGTCCTCACTGAGGATGTGCACTATTCATTCAACTGCTTGGCAGAAGTATCTTTTGGGATTCTTTGTACCTATGAAAAGGAAGACAAGAAACTTAGAAATGGCCATGGCTGTCAACTGCTACTATTTTCTTTTTAACATCATGAATGGCCTAAATATGAGGGAAGATTACTGTAGAAAAATATTCTCACTGCTATGCATGGAGAATATTCAGATAACTTGTTTCTTTGGTGTATACACAAAAGTGTAAGAAATCAGAGGTGATTTCTGAACCATGATCTCATTCTTAGTCTGGGAAACCAAAGTGTCAGAACCAATATATTTAAGGAATTTGAAGAACCTGTTCTTTAGGTGAATGCTAACAAGAAGCCATTTACATCATGATTAAAATTTTCCTAATAGCATTATTCCATGAGCCAGAAATGCCTTTTTTTTTTTGAAAAGCATAAACTAAAGTTATTAGGATAGAATGCGTTCCTAAGTAGCTTTCATTAGCATTTGGTAAAGAAGGTTTTGTGACATGTTTGCTTGAGAGCTGAAATATTATCCCAATAAAGGTCAACTAGAGAATTTCTGAGGGTGAAAGCCTGAATTGAGCAGTGCATCTAATACAGAGGTGTAGAGTCTATCACAAACCACAGTAGTGGAGTAATATCAAAAGGACTAAATGGTTAGTCATCCATCAGTCCTGGAGCATTTCATTGTAACCAAATTACAATTCACAAAACAAGTGAAAATAAGATTAATAAATATCATGCACTTTTATTCTATGAGGAAAACTGTAAAATATCAGTTTCAGTGCCAGTCCTGACCTGAATCAATGAATATATATATTTTACAGTTTCAGATTTCTGTAACTGTCATTAAAATTAGATAATGTTAGGCTCTGAGAAAGAAACCATTGATTTTTAGCAAGGCCAGATGCTCCAAAGTGAATAGTCAGTTTGGGGAAGAGTGACTGCTGTGAAAGCTTACAGATTTAGCTCAGAAAGTTCTAAGATTTCAGCTGTCATGTGCAGAAACAGAGTTTGGAAAGCAGCGAAGAGTTGTTTCAGTGTATTAAGCCTGTAATTTGGAAGTACAAAATATTTACTGCAAGCATTGCAGAGATGAAAAGAGAGAAGCCTCTCTGTAGGGGCTTCTGCAAACATTTGCTTAATTTAGAAAAGATTACATTATTTTGATCATAAAATTGACAATCTGGAAAATAAATTATGACCTTCAAACCACATCCTAACAAAGATTGCCACAGAAGTTCAAAGGCAAAAACATTGTTGGATTTATAACCAAATGATTATTTAAAAGATGGAAAGAAAATGCCTTTATATTTCAATGACCTCACACAGATTGTCTCAGTCAAAACCCATGAAAAATACTAGTAATGGAAGTGTCATTATATGTGCTGAGAATCCTGGAAAATTCTTCTGGCAACAGGATTTATTCATTCATTTACTTCCCAGAAATCAACTTTACAGACACTAAATACACCTATTACAAAATGTACCAAAACACTAATAAAATCCTTCCCAATGATGTTTTTGACCTTTGAATTGACTGAGAGAAAGAATAAATATCTTGGGAGAGGAAAAGAGGAAGAATGATTTCATATATCCAACTGTGCTCAGAATTTACCTTCGTCTCAAAACTGCTCTTTTCAACATGGAAAGGGATTGAATACCACTAAATTAATTTATTGGAAACAAAATGTATAGAGTTATTTTCTTTATTTTACAAGTTCAGCTAGTTTACGGAAGCTACTTAAAAAAGAATCCCTAAATTTTCAGATTTAGCCAGACAGAGATTTCTCCACTATGGAGAAGATGACAAATGGCAGAATCATAGAATCAGCTGGGTTGGAAAAGACCTCTGAGATCAAGTCCAACCCTTAGAGCATGGCACTAAGTGCCACATCCAGTCTCATCTTAAAAACCTCCAGGGTCAATCCACCAGCTCCCTGGGCAGCCCATTCCAATGCCTGATTACCCTCTCTGTAAAAAGTTGCTTCCTAATACCCAACCTAAATGTCCCCTACCACAGCTTAAGACTGTGTGCTCTTGTCCTACTGCTGGTTGCCTGGGAGAAGAGACAGACCCGCACCTGGCTACAACCTCCTTTCAGGGAATTGTGGAGAGTGATGAGGTCTCTTCTGAGCCTCTTCTGCTCCAGGCTAAACAACCTCAGCCTCTCCTCGGAGGACTTGTGTTCGAGTCCCTTCACCAGCCTGGTTGCTCTTCTCTGGACCTGCTCCAGCACCTCAATATCCTTCCTGAACTGAGGGGCCCAGAACTGGACACAGCACTCCAGGTGTGGCCTCACCAGTGCTGAGTACAGGGGAAGGATCACTTCCCTGGTCCTGCTGGCCACACTGTTCCTGATCCAGGCCAGGATGCCATTGGCCTTCTTGGCCACCTGGGCACACTGCTGGCTCATGTTCAGCTTCCTGTTGATCCAAACTCCCAGGTCCCTTTCTGCCTGGCTGCTCTCCAGCCACTCTGTGCCCAGCCTGTAGCGCTGCAGGGGGTTGTTGTGGCCAAAGTGCAGGACCCGGCACTTGGCCTTGTTGAACTTCATCCCATTGGAGTCAGCCCATCCCTCCAGTCTATCCAGGTCCCTCTGCAGAGCCCTCCTGCCTTCCTTCCTCCTCCTTCAACATACCCTCTCTGCAACTTGGTATCACCTGCAAATATGGTGATAGTACACTCAATCCTCTCATCCACATCATCAGTAAGGATGTTAAACAGGACTGGGCCCAGCACTGATCCTTGGGGGACACCACTGGTGACCAGCTGCCGACTGGATGCAACCCTGTTCACCAACATTCTCTGGGCCCAGCCCTCCAGCCAGTTCCTGACCCAGCACAGAGTGCCCCTGTCCAAGCCCTGGGTATAGAAGGCAATATAGTCAGGTCTAGGATGTTGTACCCCTTGATCAGGTGTGCCAGGAGAATGGCTTCATGGCTCCTGTGAACCTGTATCCCTTTTTGACCTCAACCAAATGGCATAGATTAAACCCACAGGTACTTTTGATGAATAGTGTCAGATTTTATTGTTTTTTGTTGAAGCTGGATTTGCTGTATTTGAACCTAATTTATGAAATACAGTACTACTATGTATGAGAAGGGCACAAGCTGACCACCCTGCATTAATCTGTGAGAGCTCCCAAGCACTGCCACCTTCATACTTGCTTTCTAGTAGGAAATGTGGTGGTAGTCATATGACTGAAATGTTGATTTCTGTCCAATTGGCCAGACTGGAGTGTTTTAATTAAGCAAAATGATATGTTATGGACAATGATCATTATGAATTCAATTCCCTTTCTGGTACATTGCTTTCTGAATGCTGACACTGATTTTCAGAGAATGTTTTTTTGGGGCCGTTTCCACAGCTGATCTCAGTCAACAGCTCTTTGAAGTTCATGATGATAAGTACCTATATATCAGCTAAAGATCCTGACTTAGGATTTCTTTAGATATTACATGATACTGTTAACTCATTTTTCACTTGGTACCACATGGGATCAACCTTTCCCAAAGAGATGTTTCTGGAATATGTTTTACAGTTATTTATACCCCTTTGTTCTGTTTTGTTGTTTGTTTTTTTTCCCTAGGCTTTTGAAAAAGGAAGAAAATTTTATTTTTATCCCTCGTTCCCGTGAAGAGCTTCCAGAAAACTTTCCAAAGGAAATTCCTGGGATCTGTTACTTTCTTGAGGTCAGAAGTGGTCAGAAGCCGCCAAAACCCTCCATCACATCTGCCAGAGTGAGAAAGGTTTCTTACAACATTGGCACCATGTTCCTCCGGGAGACTAGCCTATGAGGCCTGCTGCAGATCAAAGACTCGTCAAAAAAGCACAAGCCCAGAACTGGGTCATGACAGGGGAGTTGGAAGTTCTTTGTATGTCCCTGCCTTGTTCTGAACAGGCAGTAAAAGCTCCAAGTAATGTCAGGCAATAATCATTTTAAAAGGTGGGTGACTGCTGTCAGTAAATAAAGTGGAAATAGGAAAAAAAATATTAAGCAATTTATTTCGACTTCCAGAGGAATTTCTTTCGTAAACTTCAGTCTGGCCCCTCTATGGCAAACAAAACGAAACAACACCCCAACTCTCAGATCAGAGGTTGGTTTTGTTTTGTGCAGAAAGGATGGTGGTTCTCTGTAGATTTGCACCAGCTAAGCAGAATTGAGAGTCAGTTCTGATTATGCATTCCTACATTTAATGTGTTCTTCAGTAAGGTAATGATGTTTTATAACTTTATGAACAAGCATTTCATACATATACTGTAGAGCTGTTGTAACCTTCCTGGCAGGAGGAATTATAATTTAATACAAATATTGTAGGAATTTTACCTATTTTTATACATATTTCACTTTCTGGATAAGTGCATTCCACATACTGTAAGCTGAGTGAGCTTAGATAGCTTTTCAGAAGAAGTTGCTGTATATTTCATACATTTTACCTATCAAATGTATTATTATACTAGTAGGAAGAAGGCATTTCTTGACTTTTTTTGGCAACAAAAATACCAATATTTTACAGGAAAAAGACCCCCCTTTGATAAATCTCTTTACCTGATGTTTATGCTAAAGCTTTAGATGAGCATTGTCTTCTTATATAAAATAATGTTCAGTATTTGTCCTACAGTGCTGTATGTCTAGTCTTTCCAGAACAATGCAAAGTGCAGAAGATCAATGTGCAGACAAATAGATAAGTTCTCTTCAGTGGGGCTTGTTTGCCTTCCAAATTATCAGGCAAACTGAATTTTGGTAGAAGCCCTGAACTTTTTTTAAAAAAATTTGGTCTTGTGAAAACTTATTCTGAGGAATTCCAGCAGATACTGGAAGCTCTCTGGATACCAGTGTTCCATATTTTTTTATTTGGACTTGCGCTCCTAGTCCAGATTGATTATTCAAAATCCAATCTGTTAATAATGATTGTTCATATGGAAATTTCCTCTGTTGCTGGATTGGCTTGAAGGTCTCCTGCTTTATCTAATGAAGATCAAAAAACCACCAAAAAGAGGAAGGCAGTACTTTCCCTGGTTATTGGAAATGGCTGTTCAAGATTTAGATTAGTCTAGGTCAATTGAAAAAAAAAAAAAAAATTCCAGTTCTTTGCTGTTGTAAATTAATACACTATTATTGTATTCAATTAATCCAGTGGAAGCAAGATGTGTATCTGTCCCCTAATAGGCACATTTTCAGCATTGCTTATTTCTCAGGTTTTCCTTTTCAAAATAATGGCAGACAGTTTTCCTCTGTTGGTGTACTGCCTTTGGGGTTGTACTGACGTGGGCTGATGTTGTTCTGCACTTGCATATTGTTAGTTAAAACTTGTGCAGTGATTAGAAGTGGCTTTGCTTTACATGAGCGTTAATCAAAGCTCACTGTCATCAAAGGTAAGACTCAACAACACTAGGAGGCATGAGAAACTTTGCGTTTATCTAATCCAGACCAGAAGTGAGTTTGCTTATGGATTTAGCAGCCATAATGTGAGACACATTATGAAAACGAGTAAATAACTTTCACCATACGTCCAGATCATCCAGTTAGAGCTGTCTTGAAGGTGTACAGACTTCAGCATATCAAGGACATCTGAACTTATGCAGGAGTGGGGTTTTTTATTGCCTGAGGAGGCTAGGTGCGTGGGAATTAGCCCAAAAATTTCCTTGAATTGAAATTCATTCACTTTCTAGAGCAACACTGATGTTGGAACATTAATATTAGACCATCCTTGGGATTGGAGGAGTTAATCTTTTATCTCCCTTGATAAACAGCATCTGCAGTTCTATGGCCAGTCTGAAAAATGACTTATAAAAACTGTTCAAGCTTGAGGTTGCAGAATTTCCACCCAAACTACAGATCTGAGAATTTTCTGCCCAGGATGACAAGTTTTAGCCTATTAGTTTGCACAGACACAGGATGTAGCATGCATTTTTTCCCTGGGAACACCAGTGAGACATGCAAGAATCATAAATGGATCAAAGTTCATGTTTCACCACTGAAAGAAGAACACCACTTCCCAGCTAATAAATCTGTGGTTTTGATGTTTATATCTAGTTCCCTAGGGTGAAGATTTTTTAAATAGCCATCATTAGATTGAGATTTCTTTCTGACTTCACTGCCACATCCTTATTGTTCAGTAGGTGCTGATATCAGAGTGCCAATCTCTCTGGCCAAGATCTTTTTCTTTTCTTGCCAACCATAGTCCTGGATGATGAGAACAAACATAAAGGTTCAGACCAAAAGCTTGTGGCTCAACTTGTCTCAGGCAGTTGCCAGTAGGAAATGCCTTAGGTTAATTCTGTAGCTGATCTTGTTTGATGGAAACATTTTCATAGGAAATGGTGGATAAATGCTAATTCTACTAGCAAATTGGAGAAGCCATCTAAAACAGTTGTGTCACCATCCTCATCCTCTCAGAGACTCTTTATTGTATTAGGAAATTTATAATCACAGAGATATATGGTGTCAGCATCACCATGGAGACAATGATTGTGTTTGCAAATAAATCACCTAACTCCCCAAATTAGAGCAGACTTACTGTATATGAATATAGAGTCTCTGCTTTTTATAAGCTTGTGTAAAGGTAGCATACCTAGAACTTCAGCACTGATGCTGAGTATTATGTTATTGCTTCTGTGTTATGACAAGGGAAGTTAATAAAAAATTTGGGCTATCTAGGGACATTTTTCTATATAACTGTGAGAAAAGTGTAAAACAAATTCTCAGCACTTTTTAACTTTGTAGTTGCATCAGCTGCCTTTAATTTCAGGTTGCAAGTTTTTTTTGTTGGACAACTTTGTGAAGTTAAATGAAATTTATTATCAAGAGTGATGCTGTGATGCCAAATAGGTGGCAGTCAGACTCAACAAAACTTACTTTTAGTGATAGGGAAAATGTTCTTATTGGCCTGGCATTGTCTTCATAAATAAAAAAGTTCTCAGAATGTTGTACCTTGGGATGATGATTAGGAGAGGTTAGAGGAGCTAAAATGGATGCAGAAATCATAAACTGTATTTGAAATTTTCTTTCAGTACTTTCCTTCCTATAAAACAGATGATCTTTTGCTCCTCTGAGTAAGAATGCACGTGCTTGTGTTTCTTCACATAGCTGCAAGTAGCCACATCTGCTGTCTTGAGTTTCTGTGTGGGACAAATCCACCCCTCTGAAGAGAGAGGGAGGAGATCTACTACATAGTGCCTGAACAAGGCAAAGGAAAGCTGACTGGGCTTATCGATCTCTTGGCTGCAAACCTGTTCTGTACATCTTCCCCCTGCTCCAGTCTCAGAGTGATGAGAGACCATGAACTGATCACAGAGGCAGATCCAGTGGTCTTTTTTTTTTTTGTACAAAAATCATGAGACCCAAGTAAACAGACTCAACAGTCATTCTCACAGAGCACTTTTTACAGATCTTGTGTCAGATTTTTCTGTCTGATTGAAGCTCCCCATCACAGAGGCTTTTCTGTGATGCAGTGCATAGAGGTCAGGAACTCAGAGCAAGAAGGAAATAGTGATGGAAGTGGTAGAGTGGTGTATAACTTTTGTTCTGCATCACTCTGGTGATATTTGCCATTCAAAGACAAAAGCCCCTGCATGGGAGAATTGCTACTAAACCAGGACTCTCCAAGTGTGGTTTTCTTGCAGGATCCCAAAGGATATTTCTTTTTTTTAATTCCAGAGAGCCAATAGTCATTAACTGTGATTGTGGTTTTGGCTTCACTGCTCATTCCCACATCCAGTTTCAGATCTGAGTCTGTTTAGAAAGGCATTTTGAAGCCTGGAAGCATGCCTTTGCAAACAGAAAACCAAAGCTTTTAAAACCTGGGAAATCTTGTATGGGAATTGCCTGTTCTGAAGAAATCCTTGTGATTGAGTCATTAACAGGTCCTACTGCAGTTCTTGTATACATATACCATTTCACAATGCTATCTCTTCTTGTGCTTATGGTGCTCCCTACCAAGCCTAACAGCAGGATCAGGTGTATTTAACAGCCCTCTTTATTTTTTTCCTATATAAACCAAGCAGTGCAAAATCATGACATGTTGTATGTATTTAGAAGCATCAGCACTGCACTGTGGCTTAAACTGATAACCAATTTCACATTGTATATTTCTTTTTCTGAAGAGATCCTTCTCCCCAGCCATTTAAAAATGAAGGGAAAAAATACCAACAAAACTGCTGTGTTGAATTGGAAACGAATCTGAAACCACCATCAGTTGTTTGGGCAAGTTTAACTGCTGGACAGCTTTCAGATTCTTCAGCTGCCACGAGCTGTCACACTAGCATGTTCTTGCAGACCATCCTGCCAAGAAATCTGTAACCTAACAGCAGCATTGCAAACTTAGGACATTTTCTGGGTTTTCCTCTTCGGGTCTCAGGCCACTGCTTCACCTCTGCTGAGTTCTCAGAGCTCACTGAGAAGAGCTAATTCCCTGTCCTAATGCAGTCTCAGAGCTTCTGGCTTCATTTTTGTGTTCTGGGGATCTTTTGCAAAATTTTACATTTATAGCATTGGAAATAGCAATATGCTTAAATTAGCAACAAAACAAGAAGCTTAAAAAAGCTTGTCAAACTCAGAAGAAGATGGTTCCCTTCCCTCAAGGTAATATATTATTCATAGCACTGTACTAGGATTGAGGGTGCCAGTGACAGTAGAGGCTGTGGATAAATTGAAGATGCTGAGTGTGCAGGAGACTCAACAGGCAGGAGTTAATTGGCTTCTCCTACTGTTCATAATTCCATCATCTTGCATGCTATGTCCTACTCTTGATCAGGCCTCTGCTATTCAAAAGACCTCCACCTTCCTTCCCTTAATACACTGTATGTGATATAGATAGTAAATAATTTCTATTATTGTTCTTATTAGCATATATTTTTGACATAGCTGCTTATATCTAAAGAATAACTGGGGTTAAGGGGCTGATCTTTCTCTTCCTTTCAGCAAAGACAAAACTGTTTAAATGACACGGCAGGCACTCACATCCCTGGAGAGGGAGAAGACTGCAGTGCAAATTGCCACTGGTGGATTTGGCTGAAATCAGTGTATTAACAGTCCATGGCATGTTTTTAGCATGTTTTATCTGTGCAGATAGGAGTTACTCCTTAACAACATTACTAATTTGCAATGCATGAGCAGGCTTACAACAAAAATCTGTAAACTATTTAACCTTATAATCATGATTGATCTTTCATGGCTTGGCTGTTAATCACGCATGAAAGCGAGAAAAACAGCAAAACTGAGGAAGGCAACAATTCAGTCCCAGGGAACAGGTCATTCACCTCTGCACATGCTTTCTTGTTCCTGTGACTTAGAAAGGTTGACCTCCAGTTATCTGTGGTCCAGGTTAGTATCTCTGTGTCACTATGGCAACGAAATGGCCTATGAAAAACAGCATGGAGCATTTCAGTCTGCTTCCCCCTGGGCTGGGATTCACATTAGAGAGGCCAATACAGCATGTGATGTAAAGTGGCAACGATGCTGGCAGCCTTAGCAAAAGGATCAGTGGAGACAGATGTTAAACCAGCTGTTTGCTCTGGGGACTTTAGTTTCCAAAGGTAGAGTAAGACAGAACATATTTTATTTTGGACAAAAAGATAAGACAGAATTTCAGAGAAACAAGTGTTTACCAGGGAGTCAGCGGATTTAAAGTGAATCAAGAGCGACACACTGGCTACCTTGGCTGCAGCGGTGCCTTCAGCTCTCTGGCCCACTTTGGCTCTCCAAGAATCAAGTTTCCTCTGAAGACTGGGGAACAGGTAAGTGTTTCAGGCACTTGTCCCCTCTGCTCTATATACAACATGAGGCTACCTAAATCCTTGAATGTGCTTAACTTTCTCAGTGACCACAGATGCAAATCTAGACTAGAAATCTGTTGTTTTTTTTGGTTTTTTTTTTTTTAAGATGGCCAAGATAAATGAGATTGATCCCACTGAATTACATTCTTTTCAGCCCAGGTGCTGTTTCTCAGACCTTCTAGTCCTACTGCTTTCCAGCATTTTACACTGGCCAAAATAAATCGAATCAAATTAAGTGTCAGAGGGATAGATAAGGATATTCCAGGATAAATAAAGATTTGATATGGTAGCCATAGTGACTGTCAAGAACACGTGCTACTGCAGTTCTGCAAATCTCTACTCCTCGCATCTGAAACCTTCACAGATGAGACCAGCACTGCCAATCACCACTCCTGAATGCCATTAGGACTGTGATTTAGAAAAGCTTTTCAGCTCTGAACTCTTAGCCCAATTATGCAAAACCTCTGTGCCAAGTTCACCTGAAGTGTATGCTAGAATGCCTGCATAAACCTTTTTAGTTGTCTTGTAATAAAGATGGTGATAACATAAATTCTAAGGAGCAGAGAGAGAGTTGCCAGCTTATCATTACCATACATTTTTGGTACTTTTGTGAATTTGTAGGCCCAGAATTAACTTTCCATGAGTAGAAGGTCTCACACTGAGCTACTTGTTTTCTAGGTATTCCTTAGCAATACTCTCTAATAACTACACTTGAAGCAATAAATAAAGCCATGCTAATCTCTTCTGTGTAGACTCCTGTACACCTATCACCTTAAAAAAACACCTTCTAGCAGAACATTAAATGGCAGAATAATGCCCTGGCATGTATTGTTTGTCCTTCCATCCTCTTCCTCACAGAAGAAGAGCATGTAGTGGAATAATTTGATTTTATGAGGTGGTGTCTCTTTGTTAGTTTTCTAAAAATATATGTTGCTATTTACTTAAATAAGGCAGAGCAAAATCAGAACTACAGATCAGAATTAAAAAAGAGTTTTGGTTGTAAATAGAGTATTTTTAAAGGCTGCCCACTGACAAAGACTGTTCTCACATCCTAGAAAAAAGAGTACCAGTCAGAGATGTCAGATATTCCCAGAAATTATAAATATGAACAATGAAACAGGCAGGTATATATAATGGATGACTGCTGCTTTATACACAACAGTAAACAGATGCTAAAACTGATTAATACCCAGAGAGGGAAAATACTGTTTACTCAATTCTGGCATTTGTTTATTAGCAGTACACCTCTAAGGTGTTATTTTTTCCTTCCCTAATGCGATTGGAACATACTGTTAAATCAATATCAGAGTTTCTGAACTTATTGCAAAAGAGTAAGGTTAGAAGTGAATAACTATCAAGAAGAGATTTTTTCAGAAGTGAGCCATTGCATCAGAGACCAGATCATAAGGAAAAGAAAAAAAGAGTTACTGACAGGTATATTTATTTTAGAAGTTTCTATGGCACTTCTGGTTGATTGAAATCATTCTGAAACTGTATACTCAAAGCATGGCTGCCCAGTTCAGATTATTTTCGTTTGCTAAGAAGAAGAAGGTAAAGTTTTTAAAGTCACACAAGGGACATACTTCTTAATCTCATTTTCTCTACTTAAATACAACCTCTTTCTGAAGGTTGAAGGAAACTTTGCTGAGTGATCCTGAGGTTCTGAATGCCTAAATAAGTTTTGGAAATGTGGGTTATAAATCCGTATCATTTATGTTTCTTTAAAATGTTGTTCATGATGATGTATAAAAGCGAATTCTAAAGTATCCAACCAGCAGCAAAGGTGCATTTTTCTAGTGCTAACCTGTGCTGAATGAGGAAATGTGGATTTTTTCTAATCTATGCAGTTTTTTGTACCTTTTTTTCAAGGTGATGCTCCCAGATGAGTTGCTGTGAGTGTATGAATGTTCTGATTTTCAGTTGGGATGGGGCATGTTATCCCTGTTTATAATGTGGTGAGGGACTGTAAGGGAGAAAGCACTGTTAAGCCAATTCCATCCAATTTAACTCATCTACTGAGGGAGTGTCAGGTGAGTCTAAGTGATTCTCATTACATCTCTAAGTTAAGTCCTATGTACTTGACAGTGTTTAAGTGTGTAAGCATTCCTCTCTGGAAACTTCTCGTAGGTCCTGCAAGTGGATAGGAAAGAATCTTACAGAGAGAAAGTGTCTGAAGAAAGCAAAGTGTGTATGTAGGAGAGAGAAATTGTGCATAGAGGTGTTGGTGATGTTAGCTTTCATCTGTCTGGAAGCTGGATGACCCAGAGATTATTCATACATAATGGAAGAAAGTACTGTACATAATGCCATGAACTCTCAAGGCATAAGGATGAATTTTAGATTCCATAATCCTTAGATTTTTAGTGGAATTGTGTGATAAATGAACTATTTTTTTTAGTTTTGGTTTGGTTTTGTTTTTTTGTTTGTTTGGTGGGTGTTGTTGTTGTTGTTGTTGTTTTGTTTTGTTTTAAATAATAGTTGAATTTCTAATTTCATAGAAAAATTGTGGCAGAAAAAGAAAGTCTAAGAAGTTTAAATGCAAAGAGTGTCCTGTTTTTTTGTATTATTTGGCTTTTCTGGAGGTAAGAGTAAGAATTCCTTTGTGAGTTTCAACACTGAATGCAAAACCAGATGTGAAACAGAAACCAAGAGCCATCTCTCCAAATCATCGTGTTATTTACTGCTTGATTCCTTCTTGGAATAGTGGCAGTTAGCAAGCTACTTAAGGAATCAGTCGATTCCAGGAATGGATATCTGGTTTTTTTAACATTGAAATGATCATTCTTCCTCATCATTCCCCCCCCCCCGCCCCACAACAGTATATAGATTGGTCTCTGCAATCACTGGGGAAAGAACAGGGGAACAGAGGGCAAGGTGCTGGCTGAACATTCTCTCACTATGATCATATTTACTAAAGCTTCTCTCTGACCTGTCCTAAATTGTGTTAATGTTGTTATGCACTTGGAGTAGCCAGATTCTCTGACAGGATCTTGTGTCAGGCTCTGAAGGACAAGTGGGAAGGACTGGGGCTGCCACTCTATTATACTGCTCCCATATTTCTCTCTTCTGTTTGCAATTGCCATTCTGATCCTTAGACATGTGGTGATTTTCACAACAATCATGGTCATGGAAGCCATGGGAAACTTCTTCTTGGGAAGAATCAATAATAACACAAAAATAACACAGTCCTCCACAGTGTGAACTGTCACTCTCCAGAGAAAAGGGATTAGAAATAGTATTGTCCTCAAGAGCTGAGAAGACTTGCAGAGAGACAGTTTCTATAATTACCAGGAAAACAAAACAGAAAGGCAGGGTTGTGCAGCAGGGACATCCCATCTCATACACACTGCTGTGATAATGAAATCCAAACCCTGTGGAATTGCAGGCACATTATTCTCACTTGCTTTAAAGGTCAGCTAAGAAGCTAATTTCTCAAATGGGTTCATAGCTCTGAGACAACGTAACACTAGTCATTTCTTCCAACAAATTGCAGTTGTCAGAGAAACTGGATAGCTCATGGAGTTAAAAATAGACACTATGAGCTTGCCAGAGAAGGATTAATTCAGTAACAAAGGTGAAGCTACATCAAAATATCATAACATCTGGAGAAAAAGCAACAAAAAATGCTCAACTGAAAGCAAGTTACCCATAAAATTGCATTAAAAGTAATCTGAACCACAAAGCAGAAGAATAGCAGGGTTTAGTCTTCATTCTGTTTTATTCACCTTCTAGATCCACCTTGCAGTTTCTGCTTTATCAGCTAAATCAGTTTGGCTACAGTCCTTTCCAAGTCATGTACCTCAAGAAAGTCATGATAAAGACATTATTTGAATACTGAAGAGTATTTGGCTTGACATTTCTATCTTCTTTGCAGGAAGGAGGGGGAGATAATTTACTGCTAAATGTATTCAACTGAAAAATAAACACTAAAATCCCCAAATCCAAATCTAATAGCAGAGCTACAGAGAAAGCAAGTTTCCAAACCTTGGCATATCTTTACTAAAAAGTGAGTAATTATTTTCTATTGCCTCAAACATTTGCATTTTAAAGAATTATGTTTTGTGCCATGATTTTGAAAATTCATGTTCTATATTGCTACTTTCTTGGATTTAACAAACTAAACAAAACAAACCAGTTCTTCATTCTTCTTCAGTTACTTATTTTCCATAGCAGAGCAATTCCACAATTCTGCATATGACACTGAAGGTGCAGCAATGCACTGCAGATAGGAAACCTCAGCCTGTCTGGTGAAGGTGAAAAGTTCTGCAATGTATAGGTTGGGTCTCAGCTGAAGACAAGGCTGGTACTAGTTTCATGCAGTTTTTACTATGACTTAAGTAATTCTTTTTACTTATGTATTCAGAAGCAGACCTATATATAGGTCAGGATATATAGCTCAGGAATAATCTTCACCACTTTCTTT